ACTCCATGAAGTTACTAACTTTAAAAACTACCAATAAAGATATGAGCAAGGCCTCACCTTAACACCAAAAAAAAAAATATAGAACTTTATAAAGACTTTACTGAAATCTCACTGTAAAGTTTATTAAATTTATATTGAATTACTTTATGCATCAATATAACAATAATGCAGGTTTAAATCTATTGCTATAATAAAATAATACTATAATTTTATGGAATTTTTGCAAAATATATATCTCTACTATTTCTTTACTTTTTATTAGTTTTCATTCTATTATTAATTCTTGTCTTTGTTTCTTTTGTCTTTTGTTCATCTTTCTTTTTTTAATCTATTGCTATATAAATAAATGTATAAATAAATTAAAAAGTAAAAAAATGCAACAAATACTTGTTTCACTAGAACAGGAGAAACCATCAATATTATACAACTGATCTTTTATAAAAAATTATTTTACAAATACTAGATCATTCTGCTAAACCTATGTAGCTCACCTATAAGATTTTTTTCGACATATAATTCTAGCCAATTAGATTGAAGGATCAGGTGTAATGTAAAAATCATGTCTTTTTAAAAATTGCTATTAACTCGAAATATTACATATGAAACTGTCTTCTGTGTTTTAATAAAAAAAATTTTTTGTAAAATTTTAATATAAACTATGCTTTTTCTCATCTCTTATCCTAACTCTAAAGATGATGCTTATTACTTTAAAATCTTTTCGCTTAATTCGATTGTTTTAATTTTACATTACACCTAATCCTTTGATTTAATTGCGAAAAATCATATACCAGAAAAAATCTTGTAAGTGAGCTACTATTAATATTCTGCTAGTACATGTTATGATTATAATTCTAAAATGGTGTAGGATTATAATTATAACATGTACTAGTGGAATGATCTGGTATTGTAAAATAATTTTTTTATAAAGAATCAGTTGTTAATATCGATGATTTTTTCTGTTTTTTGCTAGCAATCTTATATGTATTATTTAAGGTACTAGAGTCTTATGCATTGTTTTTGATAGTACCATCTTGCTTGGAAGTATTTTCAATATCATCAACTTTTCGAACAGAAGACCGAAGACTTTTTTTTCTTTTTTTTAATGAAGGCATCATGGGAGTTAAAGTGCCTTGACTAACATTTTTCCTCTTAATAGAGAGAGAAAACTGAACACTTTTTGATGACAATACATTAATTGTAGAAGCTAAAGTATTAGAATCTTGTGCATTATCATTATCATTATTTGTAATATCTTGCATATGAGACTAAACACTTTTTTCTGCTATAATAATTATTAAAATTGATGTTATTTTTACTGAATATGCATCTTTGAATAAATATTTTTTTTTTGGTAATAATGTATTAATCACAGATGGTAAAGTATCTTGCAAATTATTATTATTGTTATTTGTAGAAAACTGGATATTTTTTCTTGCTATGTTAATTATTAAAATTGATGTTATCAAATTTTTTTTTAATTCTTTGCACAATGGATGTAGTGTTTTTTTTTTTTTTTTTTTTTTAAAACGCGAAATGGCGTACTTTATTTAATAAATTACAAATACATTATTATTAGAC